ATACCCAGGGCCCAGGTAAAAAGAAAATGTTTGGAAAATGATGATGGCAACAAATGTGCATGACACGATGGATGGATGGGTGGATTGTGATGAGTTGTAAGAGCCCCCAATGAAATGATTACTAAACAAAAGAAAATGTACCCTATTTATATATATTCGAGTCAAGCTGCGCCTCCAGAGAGCAAAATGAAGGAGAGTGGGAAATGCGTGTCTGGTTGCTTTCTTTTGTATTCTTTTGAGTTCTGGAGAGGATGCCAGCTGGCTGTGTTTCCTCTCCCTTTGCCTGCCTTCTTTTTGAAGGGACAGCGAGTTCCCTGATACACTCGTGATATCAGCATCTTGGCATTCTCCGGGAGGAAGGAAAGATGGGTGGAGATGAAGGACCGGTGGAGCGAGGGAGGGAGAAGGGAGGGAGGGAGGGAGGCGATCCACTCCAGGTCTCTGTGCTCCTGTCTCAGTCCTCTCAGACTCCCCGTTGGGGGAGTCTCCCAGTCTAATGCTGCACGGGGTCCCTTTAGCTTTCAAAGCCATGACTCCCCCATCCGTGCCCCTTACTTCTACAGCTTGAATTTCTTGTACTTAACACTTGTGCCCCAACGACTGCTTCCAGAGGATCAAACTGACATATTGTCCCATTTGCACTAAATACGAAGAGTCCTGGTGGCGTGGTGGGTAGGCGGTCAGCGGCTAATTGAAAGACTGGCGCGTTGCAGCCATGGGAGAAGGACGGCGGCAGTCTGCTTCCGTAAAGATGGACAGCCCTTCTCTTGCTTTGAGAGTCTCCGAGGAATGGTGACCCTGGACTACCAAGTATTGATTATTTTCATGCCCTGCTTGCTGGCTTGTGACCTGGATTAAGCTGGTAGGAGTGGTCCTGTCTGTGTGAATGAGTGTTACTGAAAGTTTTGCGCTGCCGCCAACCCCCATCGTTGGTGTAAATAGTGTCCAGTCACTTAGAAGCTTAATCTGTACAGATCAATCGTTCGTGTAGTGCTGTCTGAAGCCAGCCTCAAAACAAACAAAAAAAAACCCCAAACTCACTGCCATCGAGTCGATGCTGACTCAGAGGGTCCCTATTGTAGGACAAAGCAGAACTGCTTCTCGGGGTGTCCGAGACTGTAACTCTGTAGGGCAGTAAAAAACCTCATCTTTCTCCCACAGAGTAGCTGGTGGTTTCAAACTGCTGACCTTGCAGGTAGAAGCCCAATGCATAAATAACCACTCTGCCAGGAGAGCTCTTGTGAAGCTGGCCTCTCTGTGTGCAGTTTCCCTTTCGCAACAATGTTTTCAATGCTATAGCACTGGCTAAATTAATGACATTATCAGGAAAATGACCTTATGTTCCAGGGGGATAATTGACAATGTGCTCTGTCATAAAATGATAATGATGTTTCTCAAGTGAACCAGAGACACAAATAAACTGTCGATATATGAATGGATTAGGGGCTTAAACTTAGTTCTAGCCCCAATCTAAGAACAGTGAGTTTTTATGGCATGGTCTTGTTCGATGATGCTGCCCTCGTGAAGAGATCCCTGAAGATACGGGTGCTCTAGCAAGGTGTGATGAAGAAACCACATGGCGCCTGGCCATCAGAAAGGCATCTGGGGTCTTAAAGGCTTGCTTTCAAATAAGCAGCCATTTAAACAAAGCATCAGCTAAGTCCACTTGGAAAAAGCACGCCAACCTGTTGTGATCCAAGGACCATCCACAATAAATCCAAATCTGAAAGAGGAACTGGTATCAGAGCTCAAATGGTAAACACCTGGTTCCAGGGTATGGATGTCAGTGGAATTCCAAAGTCCGCTTGCAGGGATTAAGCCTCTGGACACAATCAAGGGATGTGAAGACCCTTGTTATCAAGCAGCGAGCATTGTCAAGTTGATTGTGGCAGGTAGAGGTAGGTTAACATGTGATAAATAACTTATCGTTTGATTTCCCTATTGACTCATTTTAAATTGTTTCTGTTTGCAATCATTTCTGCTTTCTTTTTGAGTGAGGTTATTCACTGTTGTTGTTGGGGTTTTGTTTCGTGTGTTTGCCTCCTGCTTGCATTTCGTATGATTTTCTGTACATGAAGTCCAGGAGAGGTCGATCGATCGAGAGAGTGACTGGATTGATAATTGCCTAGGCGCCTGTCAGGGGAGGCTGGGGGGACATGGGGCACTAACAACAAGTACAAGGAAGAACAAATGGACTGTGGTGATGATTGCACAACTCTTCTTGATATGACTGAACAGTTCAAATGGATGCGATTTGAAGTCTATGCCAACAAAACTCTTTAGAGTAAAAACGAAACGCTTGCCAGCCTCGGCAGTGCTGTAAGGTTCTATGAGTCGGAACCGACAGGATGACAATGAGTGTGGCTTGGGCTTTAGTGACCAGGCCTAGGGTGGCCTGGCCCTTGACGACCTCTCCACAATTCCTCCACATCATACTCTCCAGTGTTTTTAGAGACCAATCAAAGTGTTCCACAAATTTACTAGTCCCACCGGCTCCCCCAACCCATGCTGGAGTTCCCTCTGGACTTTCAGCTCTTAGCTCGGTGCCCTTTCCCATGGACGCCTTCCCTGACCACCGTACCTGGCATACGCTGACCCAGGCATTCTCTCATTCCTGTTTACCCTTCACTATTCGACTCTCTTTTGTTGCTACATTTATATAGTGCCAGAAGAAACCAGCTCCTAGCACAATCATTATGGGTTCGGTAGGCGCAATTGTACAGCGATAAAAAGTAAGTATTATAGTAAAGTTATAGAGAGCATGAGAGATAAAAGAGATATATAGAAACAAATGGAGTCAAACACATTTTATGGTAGCATTGCTCACCTCAGCCCCGCTTGGTGGTCCACATGGAGGGAGAGGGAAACTTTAATGCTTCCCAAGCTTTTATCCTCTCTGGGGACTTGCAAGCCCCCTAATTACAGGTGAAGACATACGTCACAGGAAAGGGTTGTGCTATAGGTATTACAATGATGGGAGGGGGTGATCCAGGGGTATCCAGGCAATAGGAAGAAGAAGGATTGGGGGTATATACAGCAAGATGGGTGGGTCTTAGATACAGGATGGCAGCTTAACTTTGAAGATCACAGAACCGGTTTGGCCTGTTCCTGGCCCAACTGATAGAGACCATTATCAGTAGGATGTGAACTCCGCCTCCAGGAGCCTGTCCATTGTCCCCAGCGGCAGGGAGCAGGCCCAAGTCTATGATATGGGGAGACAGTGGTCTGGCAGCGATTGCAAGGATCTGACCTCCCCCCACAACGTAGGGGCCCTGGTGGCATCATGGGTTCCATGTCGGGCTGTTTACCAGCCAGGTCAGAAGTTTGTACCCAGCAGCTGCTCTGTGGGAGAAAGACAAGGGGTTCTCCTCCTGTAAGGATTTACAGTCTTGGAAACCAGCGGTGGGCGGTTCTCTTCTGTCCCACAGGGTCACTATGTGTCAGCATCAACTCAATGGCAGTGAGGGATAGAGTTGACTTAGTGCCTGCCCTCTCCTCCTATCTCCTTAAGAGCAGGCACCTGACCTGCCCCATTCACGCCAGTATTCTCAGGGCCTAGAGCGGTGCCAGGCAGAGTGGATGCTGATTGAGTATTGGCTATGTGAAGGAATGACTCTGAGATCATCCGGTCTATTTTTTAAGGTCTCAAAAGGTGCAGTGACGTTGTCAACATTTTGACAAGTAATGAGACTCAAAAATGTTAAACTGTTTTATTGGTATGTAACTCACACATCATGCAATTCATGTTAAGAAGAGTTGTACAATCATTACTACAATCAATATTAGAACACTTTCTTCTTTCTTGTATTGTTATTCGCTCCCCACTTCCCTCCAACGTTCCCTGCCACACCTGAAAGGAACCATTAATCCAGTTATTGTCTCTATAGTTACTGTCTCTATAGTTACCTATCCTGGATTTCACATACAGAAAAACATACCCAAAAAACCCAACAACAATAGCAATGTAAAACGGTGGGGGGCCGGGGAGCTCTATTAAAACAGAAAATATGAAAAACTAGAACAAATTTTAAATGGATCAAAAGAGAGATCAAACAATAAGGTGTGAAACTTTAACCCAACTCTACCTGTAAGGATCCACTTTCCAGTATACTCGGCATGCTAACAAGGCTGTTCAGATCACTGGTTCATGGTAGAGGGGATTCATCAGAGGCTTAATCCACATGTATATCTCCTTTGATTTAAAATAAAATCTGAAACAACTTTAAAATGAGCCAAAACAGAGATCAAATGATAAGATACTACATTTTAAATTAACTACATGTGCCATAATCTACTTTACTCTGCTCTCTGTCTGATAACAGAGCCATTCACATCCCTCAACTCTAAGTGGAGGGCATTCACCGGAAGTTTAATCCATGCCTGGACCCTGTAAATGAATTTGGGACTTCCACTGTCATCCATACCCTTCTACACACCAGCTGTTCACCATTTAAGCTCTGATACCATTCCCGCATTTGGATTTTATGATCTACAATCCTCGGATCATACAGGCTGCATGCTTCTTCCTTGTGGACGTGGCTGACACTGCATGTAGATGGCTGCTTGTTTGAAAACAAGCCTTTAAGACCACTACTCTTTCTGATAGTTGGGCACCATCTAGTTTCTTCACCACGCTTTGAGACCCAAATTTTATGCCAGGAATCAAAATCCAGGCCCATCGTTCTCTCCCCTACAGCTTCTGGGAGACATTTAGTGCCGCCAAGTGCCAGCCCACAAAGAGGAAAGGAGCCGGCGGCAGAATGTAAATCAGTGTAGTGTTTTTCCCCATCAAGGAAGTCTTGTGATGAAAACTTGTTAGCAAAACTCCCTAGTATGCTTCATGACTTTGCGTCCTAGTACAAGATTCTATCTTGTTATAAGCCGTTCTCCGCTGGTTCCTAGACCACTTTTTTTCACCACGAGTCCTACGGGTCCCTAATGTAATCACCCTCCCTCTCTCTCGTTGCAGATGTTCTTAACATCCCCACCACCCAGGGCAGATGGAGGCCACTACATCCTATGAATATGAGCCCAACAGCCTTCTGTGTGAGAGCAAGGCCGTTGTCTTTGCCACCCTCTTTACCTCCACCCTCTACTCCCTGGTGTTTCTCCTCAGTCTCATGGGCAATGGCCTGGTGTTGTGGGTCCTGGTGAAATTTGAGAGTCTGGAGTCTCTCACCAACGTCTTTATCCTCAACCTGTGCCTCTCTGACCTGGTGTTCTCATGCCTACTGCCAGTGTGGATCTCGGCGCACCACTGGGACTGGCTGTTGGGAGACCTGGGCTGTAAGATCCTAAATTTCATCTTCTCCACCAGCCTCTACAGCAGCATCCTCATCCTCACCATCATGACCATCCACCGCTACCTGTATGTGGTGAGACCCCTCTCGAGTCTGCGCAGCCACACCCTGCGCTTCCGTGTGCTGGTGACCGCGATCGTATGGGCGGTGAGCATCCTTTCCTCCGTCTCGGAAGCCTTCTTCCACAAGGATCTCTCGGACCAATGCGATTATTCAGAAACCAGGTGGTTTGTCATCTCCGTCTACCAGCACAACATCTTCTTCCTGCTCTCCTTAGGGATTATCCTGTTCTGCTATGTGGAGATTCTCAGAACCCTCTTACGCTCCCGCTCCCAACGGCGCCATCGGACGGTGCGGCTCATCTTCGCCATTGTGCTGGCCTACTTCCTCAGCTGGGCGCCTTACAACCTGAGCCTCTTTCTGCAGACCTTGGCCAAACAAAGGCTCATGCAGGCCTGCCAGGCCCACGAGCAGGTGGAGTACGCGGTGCAGATCTGCCGCATGCTGGCTTTCTCCCACTGCTGCTTCAACCCGGTGCTCTACGTGTTCGTGGGGGTCAAATTCCGCAGTCACCTCAAAAGGCTTCTCGGGCACTTCTGGCTCTGCAGGCAGCAGGTACTCTCCCACCCCACTCTCCCTTCAGGGGCCTTTAATGAAGGTGCCTCCTTCTACTGAAGGGGGGTTTGATGGGTAGGCCAGGCAGGCAGAGGAGCTGGAGAAGGGACCTGGGAAGAGGTGCTGCGGACGGTGCCTGTAGGTGGGGATGCTGCCACCACAGAGGCGTGGCTGAAAAAAAACATGCATGGTCCCAGGAAGTCCTATGTGGCTCTCTGGGGAAAAAGTGGCTTCCTGGCTGGAAATGTGATCCCGTTTCTTGGATTCTGATTTCATCATTTCTTCCTTCACTTAGACATGGATTTCTTAGGATTTCTTGATTCCGAAGGTTCTAAAACACAGAAGGATTCCCAGAAAGGGCCATCTGTCCTCCGTGACTTCATGAGACGCTGACGCTCCCTCGGCGTGTGTGATGGTGATGCTGATGCGTGTGGCTAGGGAGATGGTCTCGCTCCTCTCTGACTCAACGATTGCCCTGACTGCCTGGGTCGCTGTGGAGGTGGCTGGCACCATATGCTGCGGGGACTGCTGGATGGGACCTTCTACAGAGCAAAAGTCACCACACCTCCAAGAGCCACAGTCACAACACCATCTGGGTCCCAAGCACCCACCACCACAGTGGAGACACGCTCTGTAGGTGAGCTCTAGTTCCTAGCCCGTGAGTTCGTATTCGATAAGTACTTCACGGAAGGAATGCCTATTAAGAGTGCTGCCCCAGCCCTAAGCCTTTATTTAGAAGGAACAGAGACAAGTGAGGTGAGCTTGTTGCCTCAAGGCGACCACAGGGGCGCTTAGAAAATCCGTGTCTGTTAACACCTACCGTGGTGAGGTCTTGCAGATTGAAGAGACCTGTGGCACCTTGTGCCACCCACCTTGTGGCTCTTGAGCTGACACTCATGGTCATCACTTTCTATCTAAAATATCCTTCTCTGGTTTGGATGATGGTAGCCATTCGTCCTGCCAATCAGAACCCTGCTGGGTCTTGCTTCCACTCCCATGGTCAAGTCCTCTTGGCTCTGCCATCCCTGGATCTTCAAGTTGTTCTTATCATGACATGGCCACAGCTTCATCCCTGAAACAGGGCCTGACTTCCACAGCCTCCTGGCTGACCCTCTCTTTGTCCACCAAGCTGTCCTCTCCACCGATGCCAAACCGCTTCCAATCTTTGAGTGGCTTCTCATTGCATCCAAATCAAGTTCAAAGGCGTTGGCAAGGGTTCCAAGCCCTCCACAAGCTGGTGCCAGCCATCCTTCCCATTCTCTTCTGAGCTAAGCATCCCCCCTTCTCGGAAGCAGAGACACCAGACAGAAGATACCGCTGATCCCTTTGTACACACTCTTCTCCCCAGTCTTCTCCAGGTCTTTCTCGTCCGTCTCCTCCCCAGCCTGCACACCCTAGCTGAAAGACCAGCTCCTCCGGGAACTTTCCCCCCAACTGAAAATCAGAAGGGCACTCAATGGCTAGCCAGAGCACTCTGTTTGCCCTCCTCTAAGCATAGTGAACCAAAGAAGATAATGGTAAATACAGAAGATAAGATCATGGACTACAGAGTTCTCCCCACCTTGTGATGAAGATACACACCTATATGCCTTCGGTCCTTGCCCCATCAGACTCCAAACTGCTTGAGGACAGGAGCCTAGGCTGGATCCTTGTCAAGCATGGATCTTGAGGTCCTAGTACTGTGTGTTGAGTAGGAGCAAGGAACAGCAACCGTCATTGTGTTTCTGACTTGTGCTTTTTTTTTGGGGGGGGGGGGGGGGCTTGTTATGGGATGCTCTTTGCCTTCCTTACCCAAGCTGCTTCTCTGTGGGTATTTAAGCCTCTCCCAGGCTACACTCGCAGAGTCTCTTGCTCATGCCTCTCTGGGCCAATGACTGGAGTTGGCCTGACACACTAGTTAGTGGGTATGGAGTCTGACTTTTACACTGGCACATAGGTTCATACGCAAGGAGGGATCCGCGCCACCTTTGGAGCTTTGCCACGGTGGACCCAAACACATCAAGGATCAGGGAGGTGGCACAGAGCGGAGCCGTGTTTCCTTCTGTTGTACGTGGGTTGCTAGGGGTCACAGTTGGCCAGCTGGCAGTTATCAACAACAAGAACAGTTTGCCATTCGACACAGCCCTGGGCTCGATCCGTGACCGCCTTCAGCTCGGCAGTGAGGAGCACCCCAGGTGATTGGGATTGGCACCCCACTGGGAAGCACCGTATTTGTCTACAAGTCTTTGAACATTGAAACTTTGGGGTCTAGCACAGTTCCTTGAATGGGATTTTGCACATAATAGGCACTCAAAGGATGCTTTCTGAATCAAGTAGACCTCACCTTGAACCTAGCTACTTTCTACACCAAATGCCTTTTATTTTTCCCTTCAGTTCCAGCTGTCACTGCAAGGATCAATTTGCCCTTTGGTGGTCAGCCTTAGAAGAGTCCAGCCAGGTTAGGGAAGAGCGAGGACCTAGTTTTGTATTTGTTTGTTTGTTTTGTCATTTAAAAAGTAAATCACTTTATTGGGGCCTCTTACAGCTCTTATCACAATCTTTACATCCATTGTGTCAAGCACATTTATGTTGCCATCACCATTTCCAAAACAATTTTTCTACTGGAGCCTTGGTATTGGCTCCTCTTTTTTCATGTCATTTTTAAAAAATCATTTTATTAGGGGCTCCTACAACTTATCACAATCCATCCATCCATCCATGTGTCAAGCACCTTTGTTGCCATCCTCATTCTCAAAACATTTGCTTTCTACTTGAGCCCTTGGTATCAACTCCTCATTTTTCCCCTCCCTGCCCATCCACCTTCCCTCATGAACCCTTGATAATTAATAAATTATTATTATTTCGGCATGTCTTACACTGTCCGACATCTCCCTTCACCCACTTTTCTGTTGTCCATCCCCCAGGGAGGGGGTTATATGTAGATCCTTGAGATCGGTTCCCCCTTTCTACCCCAACTTCCCTCCACCCTCCTGGTATCAACATTCTCACCACTGGGAGGACCTAGTTTTAAATCCGCGTTCATTATCACCTGCTGCAGCGGAGTGGGGTGTGCAGCAGGGAAGAGGTAAATCCCTCATGGACTGCTAGCCAATGGGTAGGACCACTCACGCGTCACGAACATAGTCGGAGCACACAAAGGCAATAAGAGGATACTTTTGAGGTCAAAGCCAGGCCTACGAACAGTGCACTGGCCAGGCTAATCATCAGCACTCCCTCCAACTAGTATTATTAAAATATTTGTCCAACATTTAATCAAAGGACAGACGGAGCCCAGAGAGCAGAGGAGTAGAAAATGCCAATTCACACACGAAAGCACACACCATAGAGTTCAAATCGACGCTCCTTAGAAGGTAGGGTTGAGGTCATGTATTGATCGCTAGAGAGCATATTCCTTCTTGAGAGGCTGACTCCGCCCTCTTTTCACCCGATCCCATTGCTTCCTGCCTGCTGCCTTGCTGAGAAAGCAAGCCGAGCACCTTCAAACTGAGGCTTCCTGGTGGAGCGGAGTGCCTTGGGGCACTATCATTAGAGCGAAAGAACCTGGTAACACTTGCTCAAGCAGGGCAGAGGCTGGACCGGCCCAAGCAGCCACGGAACCAGAGAGCAGACGCAGAAGACACAAGGAGCCTGGGAGACAGAGTTGCCTCCGTCTGAGAAGGTAGAGCCGCGGCTCCTCACGAACTAACGCACTGCCACGGAGTCCACGCGGACTCCGAGACCCCCTTGTGGGTTCCTGAGACTGTACCTGTTCACAGTAGTAGAAAGCCCAGGCTTTCTCCCTCCGAGCTGCTAGTGGTTTCGAACTGCTGACCACATGGATCGCAGCCCAACGAGTAACCACTGGACCGTCAGGGCTCCTTGGGTCATGGCTCCTTGGCCATGGCTTGCTGGTTCTCAAGGAGTGGGCCATGGCCTCCTGGAATGTTAATGACTCTTTAAAACCTGCTGGACTCCTCCAGCTTTCTAGGCCGTTGTATAAGATTGATACATTGTGGTCAGTTGGCAAGTCAATGTCAAGATCATGAGCGACAGAATTCTTTTTTATATCCATGCTCACCATGCTTTTTGTACATATTGTGCTTTATGGCTTTTTGTAGCCTGATATGCATTTTAACAATTATAGGCCACCTGAATGTCATCTGTCATTAATTTGCTTAGAAGAAATCGCTTCAATCTAGCTTGGAAAACTGGGATAATTTGAGTCCCACTCAACAAGCACAGTTGCTCTTGTGCTGTTGGCTGGCCCTCCTCAAATAATAAACCGCTTTTCTCTGTATCTGTTCCACGTGGAGTGGTTATCAATCATTGTATGGACCCAATATTTGAGGGAACTGCCATGGTGCAATCTTTAATCTGGAGTTTTCCTGAATCCAAAGGAGGAAGCACAGAAGAAGAGGGATTAAGTGGGAAGACAAAAAATAAGCAGTCTGCGTTAGACAGGGTTGACTAGAGAAACAAATCCAGAGACACTCATGTGTGTGTAAGAAAGAGCTTTATATCACAGAGCAATTGCATATTGAGAAAACACCCCAGCCCAGTCCAGATCAAATCCATAAGTCCATTATTAGCCCATATTTCTGATAATAGTCCATAAATTCCTCTTTAGACTCATGCAGCACATGCAATGATGTTGAATGCAGGACGATCACAGGCCGGTGGGTGGAAAGTCCTGTGAATCCAATGGCAGTGGACGCATCTCCAGGGCTCTGGCTGCCATCAGCGTGGCTCCATGTGGCGTGTCAACAGGAATGTGAAGCAGAGTGTGTGTCCCACCTCCCAGGAGAAAGAGAGGAAGTTCCCAGAATCCTCATGAGAAAGCCACACCCACAAGGAAGCATCATCAGGCTATGACCTGTTGGCTAAACTCCACCCCCTTCACCCTTTTTCAAGTTGACATGAAATGGTGTAACTACCGCACAGTCAGAGAGGCAATAAGGATGAGACTATTAAAAGGGCACAGCCAGAGAGCTAAACATGAATGGCCAAACCCTACAGGACATTCTTTGACCATCTCCCATACACACCATAAGCCCTCCGCTCTTCCCCTCCCACCACCTATT